CTACTTATATGGTCTCAATCACTGCCATCATCATGACCTCCCTCTTAAACATTGTTCAATGGTTGGCCGATGTTTGGAGAGTTAATCAAGATGAACTCATCATTTATACCATATTCAAAGTCCTTACGAGAGCATTATTATGTCAACCCTGCTTTGGTGATAAATGGTTAAGGAAGGGAATGAAGGGAGGCAATAGAGGATTGCCTGGAGTCTCACCGTCTTCAGTGAGTTCCTCGCCATCAAAATTATCACCAATCTCAACTTCTTCGCGAGGTTTTAATGAAAAATCTCGTGAAAGTTCGGTCTCTTTACCAACCGAACAAGAAAACCAATCGTCGTTGTCCCTTTCATCGAAAAATTTGGGAAGAGCTAAATCAGTGAAAAGAAAGAAATAATATTAAATATTGCTGTGACGTTTATTATTTATTAAGTTTCCCTAAATTGCGCAATAAAAATTTGTAAAGGCACATCTCTAGAATTTCGAATGAATGCAAAAGTCACACTTAAACTTTGTCATAAAAAGGAACCGGTTTAAAAAAAAAAAAAATTATAAATTATAATTGCCGACAACGATTATTGCTGACAGATTAAGATTAAGTTACGAATTATACTAAATGCTCGTCATTTAATTTATAATGAATTGTTACAAGTATAAATAATTACACGGCCGTATATGGTTTTCTATGGAATGTCACGGAGAGTGTTTATTTAAACTTTGAGCATATTACAATATAAGCTATTACTTATAAAATACATTAAATAAAATTTAATAATTATTACTTATACCACAGTCCTAATCATTTGCTGTAACTTTTTTATTGATATTTTTCATGGTATAAATTGATCAAATTAATACGATGATATTTTTATATTATAATATTTTCAATATTCATAGTATTTAATTTATACATAGATATTGTTATCTTACAATACTAACTAGTATTTTATGCAAGATTAACAAAGGATTTAGCTTGAAGTAATATTTCAGGAAGAGCTCTGAAGGTTTATACAAATAAAATGGTAATTTTAATAAGCAATATATAATTTAAAATAAGCAATTATGATTTTATTAAGAAAAAAATTTAATACAATTATATTTGTTTACATATAATATGCTTTAGCATTTATCTTATTTGTAATAAGTTTAAATTAAATTTTCTGAAAATTCATTGTCGTTAACTAAGTCTATTTATATAGTAAGTGATACCACAAAACATCTAATAAAATTAGTAATCTTTCAAATGTTAATAAAAAATATTCAGTAATTATTTTTTAAAAAATTCAACACTATTTAATATTTTTAGTTAAATTTTATATAAGATAATTAAAATCAGATTTTTGTATCAAAAGTTATAGGCTTTTAATATTTGAAATTTTATTATATTTGATTCTGATTTAGCCTTTTATGTTGGTCTGAATTATAATATTTTAGTCAGAATTATAGATGTGTAATATAGTAAATTTTATATAAAATATTGTAATTTACTAATATATGTAAATCTGATATATAGATTATTATTAAAAAGATTTTAATACTAAACAAGTTAAGTATACTGTAAAAAAAATTAAGTAACATAGAGCAATATCCAATTTAATTTTAATGAATATTGATAATTTATGTAATTAAATTCTGAATTATAATTGGTTTAAATGTAAAATTATGTGATTTATTATAATACATATTAATAAGCAAATAAATTTAGCATTTTAAATAAAAAGTAAATATCTTATACTATTACCTACACTAAATTTGCTAATATAAATGATTAAAATAATAATTGATTAATAATATAAAAGAAATTCTGACTTCTTCTGAATTTTTACGTAATCTTTATTTAATTTGTTTTCCTCATTTTTACTATTTTTGTCATCTAATATGATATAGTAATATAACTTTAGATCATATATATTATATCATGTTAGCCAATCTTTTTAATCATATATCCCTCTTATTACAATATTATTTTAATTATTTATTTTTGAATGTAAAAATAAATATTTAAGAAGATATAATTATTAAAAAAATTTGCAATTTTAAAAAATTATTATTATAAAATTATATTATTTTATCTAATTAAATAATTTGTTTAAAAATATTTATTATATTAATCAATATATTTAAAGTATTAAATTATTGATTTTCATTAATTTATTTATAAATACAAACTTCTTAAATATTTTATAATTAATATGTTACATTTTTTTTCATTATAAAGATGATATTTTACAATTTATTTTTAAATATTATTAAATAATCAACATAAAATTCTTCAAATTTATAATTCAGTTTTTAGTAAATTTTTTAATATTCTTAACTTTTGCTTTTTTATAATAATATAATGTTTTTTTTGAGCAATATCTTAAAAATAATTTTTAGAAAATTAAATTAGCTATTATTTAAAACTTTAAAAAAGATTTATTAAAATTTTTATATTTTTTTAAAAGTAAAAAGAAGAATAAAAAAATAAAAAAGATAATATAAATAAAATAAAAAAAGATGGAAAAGAATAATGATAGATCAAAAAGTTTAGCTCATATAATCTAATATTATATAATAGAATGTAATATAAAATTATTTTATATACATTATAAATCGTTAGATTCATTTAATTGATCAATCCAGTCAACTAAAAACTAACTTATATATATTTTATTAATTTGATTAAACAATATTTTAAAATACTAATTTTATAATAATACAAGTTATATTTAATTTTAAGATTTGAATAAAAATTAAAGAGTTTTGAATTATTTTCAAAATAATATTATGAATATAATTAGGGTCTAACTTAAAAATAATTTTATAATTATTTTCAAATTTTAATTAAATTGCAACTTAATTATATTATAAGTAAATTTAATTATACTATAAGAACTTAATTATTGCATTTTTTAATTATAATACCTATTTTTAATCTACTGATTACATTTTTTATAATTAAATTACTAACATCTAAAAATAATTTTTTAAAGGAACTGATAAAGCAGAAATTACAATAAATTTTTGAACTTGTTTTAAATGTAAAAATAATTTTTTTTTATATAATTTCTATTATTAAGTAAATTTTTATTAAGATATAAAGGATCAATAAAAGGATTGATAAAAGAATGTATTGAAATTTGTAATATTATAATATATACTTATTATAAATATTATCAAAAAAATTATTGCTATTCTTTATAAATTTTATATCTAATAAATTATTTAAAAATTTTATATTTGCTATATTTTCATTAAATATTACTTTTTGTTTATTATTTATAAACTTTATATTTTTAAAATGAAGATAAAATTTAAACAAAAAATCTATTTGCAAAATATTTTGTCAATAATTATTACTTAATACAATTACTCAATTAAATTACTATAGTATTACTAATAAAGTTGCTAAGTAAAACCTAGAGGTTTTGCAAGTTATTTAAATGATAAAAAGTAAAATTTAGTGAAATAATATCAAAATCTTATTAAAAAATCTGCAAATTTTTGAAAAAGATAAAATTATATCAAATGTGATACTATATTAAAACTTTAATAAAAAATTAGTATTAATAAAATAGTTTTTAAATTTGATTAATACTAAATATATTATACTTAAAGTTGCTTATCTAAACTTATTTTAGATTTGACAAAACATTTAAACTATAGTTTCGTTAATTTTTTACTAAGTTTTGATATAGTTTTGCATTTTTATAAGCTTTGATATAGTTTTATTTTTCTAAAATTTCGTAGATTGTTTAATAAGATTTAATATAATTTCGTTAAATTTTATCTCTTTTCATTTATATGACTTGTAAAATCTTTAGGTTTTGTTTAGCAACCTTAATTATGCTTAATGACTTTTACAAATAATATTTATAATTTAAATAAAGAATTTTAATAAATTTAATAAATTTTGTAATATAAATCATTTATTTTCATCTAATAATTAAGTTTTTAATTAAATTTCATTATTTTAAACTATATAAATTGAATTATTTTAAGAATTGCTAATAATAAATATATAGTATTTTAAAGAAAAAAATCATTATAATACAATATAAGTTAAATTTTATTTTTCTGCAATATTATGAATTAGCTTAAGAATTTTTAAATATAATAGCATATTATTATTTATTATTAATTATTGAATACATTAAAGTATTTTCTAATATTTATTTTGATAAATAAGTGTATTATAAAGTATTTTAGCTTTATCAATAAGTGTATATCATTTTTGAATTCATTATTCATTGCAAGTTGAAGAATGTAAGTAGTTAATAATTAAATTATTGTAATATAATTATCATATCTTTTGCATTATCACTAATTTCTGCAATTATCTTATTAGTTAAATTCTATTTTTTAACCAATTTATGAAATTCTATTAACAGAATATCTATAAGAAAATTCCTTATTTGTTAAAAATCCTTAATAAAGTTCAAAATTAAATGTTAACCAATAGATTGTCATACCAATATATAGTTTATAAAATTGTGTCCAAAGGTCAACTGTAAAACTACAAGTTTCTATTGAGTGCTCTATTTCAAAAGATAAACATTCTTTTGCAAATATGTTATTTTTTTCTTTATTATACTAATACATGATACAAGAAAATGATTATCTATACTTTACATAATTAAATAAATGTAAAAGTATTACCGATATTTAGAGGCTGTAAATCATCAACTATCTATTTTAATAACTTAGATATATATGGTTTATTAGTAGATTTGTATATTTCACAAGTTTATAAACTTTATTGGTCATATGGGAGGGTTTCTAGGAAAATCATGTTCCGAGAAATTTTTGACCAAAATTAAGAGCTTAATGCATTTTAATCTAATAACATCAAGAACTAAAATGCAATAAAAATCTCAGTTTTGTTAAAAAATTCCTGGAATTTGATTTTCCTAGCAATCAACCCATATCTTCTTTAGGATTATTAACTATATAAATTTGATGAATTTTATTTAGATGATTTCTAATATTAGTTGTTAACCAAGGAGGTCTAAACTGATTTTCACAAATAGTTTTTTTTGTCATTCTTTTCTACTAGAACTTGACAATGTCTGTATCCATCATCACTAATATTAATATCAACATTATCCCATACCCAATTAGTTTTTTGTCCTGTTGGTTGTATATGTTTAATAGTTGATAATAGAAGGCAGTTGCTTAGAAAATGAAAGGGAAGAAATAAAAAAATTTCGCGAGGAGTATTAGATGCTGAATATAGAAATTATCATGAAATGGTTGTGGTCACGACTTGTGCGCGTACGTTTAGTGTCATTTGGATCATACATTATAAAACTCAATTTTTCTTTTGTTTTATTAGAATTTTTCATTTTATGCTAATGTTCAAAAATTTTGTTTAAAAGAATATTTTCTGCAAGGTTTTATATAGATTTTACTAATCTTGGCTTATTATTAAAATATTACATTTGTTGATATCGTAACGCTATTATTAAAGCATTTCATAATTTGATCTCGTAGCGTTATTATTAATGAATTTCATATAATTAAAAATAATATAATTATATTATTTTTTTTTAAAAAACATTAAATAGCGCAGTATACTGTATATCACTAATTTCACTATGTTAATTTTTTTTTATACTTAATTAAATTTCTATTTAGTTATCGTTAATATTTTATTAATATTAATATAAAAGAACAATTATTAAATGTATTTTCTTTAGAAAACGTTGAAAGTGAGGGATCAGTTGACTCCCATGTGTTGAATCTGAAATTCTCTTGTACAGAATCGTTTTGCAATTATAAAAATATGAAAGTTAATTTCTTTAATAAAAATATATTATGAATGATAAAAGAAATAAATAAAGAACCTTAAGAGGCGCTTTCTTTTTAGGCGTATTGGGTTGATTTAATTGATTAACTAAAAAAAAATATTTAAATTAAATAATTTAATAATTAATTTACCAGTTTATTATTAGATTGCAAATTTTTTTTTTTGACAAATTTTTTGTCAAAATAGGAAAAAAAAATATATATATATAATTGACTATATGGGGCTTCGTCAATAGAAACATACTTAATAATTTATTATTTATAGAATGTGTTACTATTGCCTCAGTCACCGGGGTCTACGCGGTTGGTCCTTTTCGTTACACTTTGCTCCGGACTTAAGTTTATATTGTTAACCGATGTCAAAAAGGAAAACAGTTAGATATATTAGATTAAGAGAGGTAAGCTGAC